TATTTATACTGGGGCACGAATATAAACAAGTCGTAATCTTAGTACATTACAATATTTTTATGTCCCAAAAGTAAAAGCAGGTAAACAGTGAAAGGAGTGCACCAAGGCTCTGTATTAGGGACATTATTAACGGCATATTATCAATGTAAGTAGATGATTTCAATTGTTACAAATCTTCACGGTGTATAAGTTATGTAATGAAGAGCAATCAAAATAGTTTATGTAATGGCAGTAAGAAATGTATAAAAAAACAACAAGACGCTGCTTTAAGTAGTAAGTGCTAATTATCGCATGCATAATTCAAGTCCTATGTGTATAATCATAACAGAAATTGTAAATACACGCTAAGAAAGCAATCATGCGACTCTGAGAGCAGCTTAAAGACATACAAACAATAAGTGGATCTATAACACTATTTACTGATCTCCTTTCACCCTTTTCGATAAAAATCAATTTGAAACAGCACGAGCGTTTAACCCTCTCAAAAAAACATGCACGCGTGCCCGCAGCTACATCTGAAGAATAATTTATCCGAATAAGAGAGGGCGTATGAAAAGATCCTAGCGGGGTAGCGCCCCAAAATGGGCCAAGGTCGAACAGCCGGGTCTAATACTGCATGCAGAAAAAGTGTAACAAAAAATTTTGAGAGCCGCGGTGAAATTTATTTAGGATCATATGGACCAGTTTGTTCGAATGAGGGTAGGTAAATAGTGCAGTGAAATGTCAGGGACTAGATTGAGATAGTGTGTGTAAACATGTAGCCGAAATGTGGGGTAAAGATAAGAATATGATAATCAATTTCGTTGTGTACCGTTTTAATTCAGATAGATACAAATAGTAACACATAGATTGCCCTTATTTAGGTTTCAAAATACATGAACATAATCTTGATCACTTTTCACCATATCACCAAGAATTCTCATAAGATTAAAAAACTCAAATATATCGAACATTTCGTTCGGTTGAATATGATATCCCATTGAGAATTCAACTCTATTACATTCGTCGAAATACAGCAAAGACGGTGCTCTTAGGGATGGCTCGGATTCGGGAATGGGGCCAAGGCCAAAGTTGCGGCCTGGTAATGTTTAGAGGATCTAGCACGGAATAATATACAGTAATGTAATGTTTGGACGGCTGCTTACATCATATTATACGGCAAGGTACATAATCCCGTGGCAAACAATATGTGTGGACCTTTTTACGGATAACAGACAGGAGGTAAACAATTTATGCGCCTTGCCAGAGGATTTACACCTTAATGAAATGTAATGAATTTGTTATAACTGAATCTTAATTACTAATTTCTTTTTTCAAAATTTATCTTGGGATAAAGAATGGTGCGGAACGGATAAGCAATGATTACAACTTAATCTTAAAAAGTTTATTAAAAAGCCCATAATGTCAGTTAACAAAGATATTAAAAAAGGACTAATTAATAAGTTAGTAATTAAAAAAAAAACTAAAGAGAAGCACTTTATACTAAACAATAAATTAGAACATTCTGGCCTAAACAATATATACTAAATACGTTTAAGTTAAAAAATATATGAATGATGAGTAATAGAAAAAGATCTTAGGCTTTAGACCAGAGTGTTCTCCATCATTACGGAGTTTTAAATAAGTCTGATTGAATCTATACTTACGATTTAATTTGTCAAAAATGGCGTTGATAGATTTGCGCCGTAAGTTCTAATAGAGAAAAGTAATTTTGCAAACAAATTCAATCAGACCAATTTTAAAAAGTGAAAAAGCAAACTATAAAGAAGCAGTTAGTAATAATTAGCATGATGTAATTAACGCAGAATGAAGCCACCAATTAACAGCCCACCACAACAAAAAACACCAACCTGAACAAAATAAAACAATATTAGTAAGCGAATTAAAAAACAAAAGTACAAAAAACTATTAATAACTTTAAATCATGGTTATGATGTGTCGCTGGTCTACGGACAGCGAGAGTAGCTCGTCCTAGAACCAGACGAAATAATAGCGATCCACGTTTAGACAGAGCCAGCCAACCACTAGTGCCGATACTAAGCCGGGGTTGCTGATGCAAGCATAATTATGTACCGTGACCCCAGCCAAGAGCGGGAAAAGGAGTGGGGTGATTTTTAGTAATTGTCTGATGTTCCCTCTCACCTCACCCAAGGCGGAAGAAGTCATTAGTTAATTTTCCACCATCCCTATTCTTATCGTTGGTATTGTAAGAGCCGACTTAGGCACTACACATTTGACACATAGACTAGCAGCGCTGTCTGATAAACTTGAGTCATTTTAAGCTGCAGTCTCTGATCCATCCGCCTTTTAAGCGTGCTGATGATGGCAAACTACAACTGGGCAACAACTGAGCAATTTTCCATTCAAATCGTTTTTAGGACAATCGTTCAATGGGCGTAATCCCTAATACCTAATGATTTGATCGACCCGAGATTTCAACTACTTTCCAAGGCACTACCTTATCAAATATCGAAGTGATAGACAATGATGACCTACATAATAGTAATGAATAATGTATTACTGATGATCTATTGTAATGTAATAACAATTTGCATACAAGAACTAAACAAGACTATTATGTAAATAAGCATAATAGCTCTATACATATAGACAATAAACTTTAATGTAGATAATATTTTATCCTAATACGATAAAGATAAAGTTTAAATTAATTCAGAATGGACAATGAAATAACGGCTAGTTCGAATTATAGATGCCTACTTAGTTCCATTAGAATAAATAAAAAATTGGATGATTTTCAAGCTGGAAATAACAGCTGTAACAGAAACCGACGGTTTTTTTTTCGTCAGATTTTGTTAATGGCGTGCTATCGAAGAAGCTTGTATACGAATACTGACTTATGGTGATGATTTCGATTTAAAGGAACCAAAATACGTCTTTTACCTTAACAGAACCCTTAAAGACAAATGCTTTCCAAAAAATAGTAGGTACCTATCTATCTGTACGCTTACATTATTTGCTGATATTCGCGCATCTATTTATGAGAATATGTTTTTGTTAGCTTCATCATCTTTATCATCATCACCATATCAACTAAAATAATTACTGCTGAACATAGGTCTTCCACAGTGAGTGAGAACCTTCTGACAAATATTTTTCGTCTGATTATCCGTCAGATACACACAGAAAACCGGCGTAAAACAACCAGTGTTGTGTTTCGCCGTGTGAGTGGTGTTACCGGCCAATCCTTCCCCTTCCCTAATCCCTCCCCAGTTCCTAAATCTCCAAATCCCTAATCCCTAAAAGGTCGGCAACGCACTCGTAACTCCTCCGTTGCGGGTGTCCATGGGCGGCACTGATTGCTTACCATCAGGTTATCCGTCTGCTCGTTGGCCGACCTATTACATTAAAAAAAAAGATACAACCACCCTCTAATCGTACATTGTGAAAAGGACCCTGAGAGAAAGAATAGAATATTTAGAAATTTTACCATTCTTTTCACGTACCAAGGATAGCCGTAAACATTATTTCGAAAAAAAATACACATACGTACTTAGGTTGGTGTCTTCCTAAAAAGATATTGGATTCTTTGTCTTAAAAAACTTTAACTAAACCTAAGCTAGTTGAAATGTACAGTAATAATAAAACTGAAAACAATAAAAACACTTCAATTGTTACCTACACGTTTGAATACTTACCAAAGCTTAATAAGTACCTAAATGTTATTAATACAAGTAGTTACAGCGAGATACGATAAATATTTTCTTTCTAATATTGAAAAGGCATTCACTTGATTCATTGGTTCAAGTGAACAAGTACGTACACAAAATACAGGTAGGTACCTACCTATCGTACTTCTTTTGATAAAGCAGAATGAATCTAAAACTGTATACGAACAGAGCGCATTTCGTATTGAATCTGGATGCTTGTCTTATAAGTATAATAGCACAAATTAGTTCATAATGAGTAGGTATCAAGGTACATCACTTACCGTGCAGAGGTGGCGAGATGACGACTCAACGGTGACCACTTGCAACCGATTGCAGCATCACTAACGGACACAACTCCACCACACTCGCGAAATATATATAGGTACCACAAACAAATATACATAAACAAAAAACCCAACGGTTCCCAAACCCGTTCTCAGCACGACTAGCGGGGCTCACACTTGTTGCAAAACTAAAGTCGTTTAACACACAGAATTTATTATAAAGAAAATACAATCTGGCGTTTTATAATCGATTTTTTTAAACTCTTCTTTCTCCAATCTCATTCACAATACAAACTCGATTATATCAATACTTTGTAACACTTTTTATAATAAAAGCACAAGATTGTTTAATTGTATTAGTTTTATTTACTTTTTATTTAATAAAATAAATTATAATTATTTAACTGATCTGTCAATGTCCATTCAGCCACCTCAGCTGAGCACGCTTGCGCGTAACGACCGTAACGACAACGCCACCTGGCTGCGCAAGCCAAACTGACATAAGATGTGACGGGCGGCCGCTGGCGGGCGGGACCACGAATGCTGCCAGCTAACAAAAATAACCAAAGTGTTGCTACGCTAAGTCAATGAGAAAATGCTCTGAATTCAAGTATACGATTAGTTAAAACAATAAAATTAGAATAGATGCAAAACTTAAGGAATAAATTCTTTATACTTTGGTGAAACTTGTAAAATTAATTATGAGTAGACAGTAATTAATGAAAAGTGACAGAATCAACCATAAAGTTATAAATAAAAACTTCTTACTGACATCCGGCCAAGCCAACGTGATGACAATTTCTTTCACTTCATTTGGTACGAAATTCGAAAAGCAATTTAAAATAAAAGAAAAAAATACATCATGTATCTATCAAAAAAGAGGAAAATTTTGTTATTGTAGATTTAAACACCAATGTCTTTCAAATTGTCGTCGTTTTTATTAACAGTTTTACCGTTAATTTTTCTCTTAAAATTTAGTGACTATTATATTAGTTCGTTTCTTATTCTAAAGATAATTAATTGTATGTGTGAAATGTCACATTGAATGAGCTTCGAAGTGGATCGGTACTCGTCTGCGTGGGCACATATCGCCCTTTGTGCGGATCTCACATGGGCTACGGAACCTCCCGATGAATTCATTATAGCTAATCAGGTACCGCTCCTAAGAAAAATGTCATTTTTCATACTTAAATAAATAACACTTGGTTCTGAGTTGAATTTTCCTTACATCACGATGTCTTTTTTAATTTCAGCGTCTCTGGGCACAGCATTGTCGTGTCTCTCATGTTCTGCAAGACACATCATTGGAATCACAAAGTTTGCAAACAAATAATCAATGCGAATTAACAGGTCAGAATTTTCAAATGTAATTTGAAACAATGTGCTTCTAAATAAGAATGACTTAGGTCTTAGCCAGAGTTACTTTTCATAGCCCCAAAGATAGTTGCACTAATATTGAAAGATCTTGGTGTTCCGTAATGTTTTGTGCCTGGGCTTCACCCAGTTGTGCAGTCTCTTTTGTGCCATTAAATCTCAAGACATCCTGTCTCCGGCATTAAATTCACCGCAAAAAGTGCAAAGGTAAATGAGCTAATGAATGATGTGACTGAACTGAGTGACACGTGGCCATTCTGGCCGTAATGAGAACGCAACTGGATGCCTCGCTGCGAAAAACAATTATTATAAAGTTAAATGAATTTGAGGCGTAAATGCTGACGATTCTATGCGATGTGCGGCTACATCATTTTTCTTCTCAAAAAATATCTTCCGTTATATTTCGTACTACTTACGTTACTGGACCCTAAACAGTTATCCATATATATTTCTAAGACGCCTCGGACTTAAGTGTCGGTATTTCATAGTTGTATCTACTGTAGATCCTGGCTTATAAGGTGCAGCGTTATTTTCGAAGTTGTGGCATGGCTGAAAAAAGGTTTAGTTTAAAAACATATCGCCACGTTCTAAAATATAATTATCAGCCACCACTTGGCACTGATGACCCGTACATGGAATTGATGGAAGGTGTAGCATGTAGACCTTATGGGTTATAAATTCTAAACTAAACATGATAGGAAAAAGTGTGAGAATTGCCCCAGGGTCTTAGTTTATAGCTGCATAAATAAACTGTGCGTAAAAAGAAAGTTATAAGGGAAACACTAAATGCAGGTCTCACCCAAACGAACGATCTGAAAACTGTATCTTTATAGGCCTTTCCCAGGCCTATAGAGAATAGTGGACGCCCGCCCTAAGAACACTATCTTGCTGCGACTTTTAACCAACAACATTGCAAAATTTAATTACATATTTTTTAATCAATAGCAGTAAAGAATGCAGGTGTGGGCTATTTGTATTCAGTTTCTTGTTTCACAAAACTGCTAATAAAACCGTCCCTAAAAGTTCCTACCGTAGTGTGGCTGATAGAAAACTCAACGGTGCTAAATTTGGCCTAAGCATCACAGGGACTCGACATTAAAGATTTGGTGATAGAAAGAGAAAATTTGTAAATTTCTATGTAGGGGGTAATCTTTGGAACCACTGCTGGTCCTATTTCCAAAATTCTTTCACTGATAGATAGCTACAATGTTTCTGAGTGCTATAAAACATTACCCAAGGGCAATTCTTCAGAATTGTTAAGCGTAACTTTTTATTCATTGCTGCATTGCTCTTAATGTTCTCTGATGATAGAATCTTACAAGTTTGTATGATTTATTATCAATCGTGGGGCCATTTGCCATTAATAGTTGGCCAAGCGAGCGTAAAGAAACAAACGCCCTTCAAAACTCTACCACTTTTAGCGATATAATACGTTCAGCTTTTTTTTCAAAAGTTTTTTATACGCGTTCTTGGCCATGTAATCCACCTCTCCCGTCTTAACCTGCCAAAACAAATTAGATTTTTTTGACCATCAGACACTTTCTTTATTGACTCTGTTATGAAAGATCTAATTTTAGATATAAATACAATAATAAATAAAATGTTTGGTAGATAATAAACGTGCAATATCAAGCCAAAGCCAAGAAAATGGCAGCAGTAGTGGCAGACGGAGTGTGAAAGACGTCATACCAGAGTCCAGATTGGCACAATTCTATGGCAATTTCTATTACGACGAAGTCAGGTGGGTATCCGATTTCAAGATATTTTCAAATGATCTAACAAGAGCTACTGATACCTAGGTATTTTGTAGTACGGACTACCGTCACGGTGGGTACTTTGTGTTTTTTTTATATTTAGTTAAGATGTTTTACGTGTGGGAGGGCCATGCTTCGGGCACGAATGGAGTGAGATCACGGTGTCACAGAAACCAGCATGTGTTTTGCCGTGTGAGTGAGGATACCGGAGGCCGATCCCTTCACAATCCTTAAATACCAGAAACCTTTATCCCTAAAAGGCCGGCAACGCACTCGTAACTTCTTTGGTGTTGCGCGGAGTCCATGGGTGGCGTTGATTGTTTACCATCAGGTAATCCGTCTTAGGCAGACTTATGCCATTAAAAAAAGTTCAAGTGTTTTCCACTTTACCTTCACTATTTAATGGTATGATTACAGTGTAGTCGTGAAAAAGATTTCAATCGGGTTTCATAGTTGAAACAACATAGACTGCGAATGGAACTTTTATAAATCTATTGGCTGTGTAATGTAGCATTATCATTAGGCGAGTATGCCACTTCAGGTTCACGACTTTGTACACCCCACGGGACTAAGCGACTTGGATGTCCATTCACTAAATGTGAACGGACTACAATGACATTGTTATTGTTTTTTGCACAATAAACCCCGGCCTTACAGTATCGCCGTGTGAGTGAGGTTACTGGAGGCCCAATCTTCTAATCCCGGATCCTTATATCCCTAATAACACAAAAGAAGCCGGCAAGGCACTTTTTGTCCTCCTTGAACTCCTTTGGTATTACGAGTGTCTATGAGCGTCGCTGACTGCTTTTGCCAACCTATACATAATTATGTGCATAAAAATAAAAAATAGAAACTGTAAATCTGTGGAATATATTTTTTTAATTTATTTTATTTTTTTATAAAAACTTTGCCCCACACTAGGATTTTCTCCTGTGGGTGCGATTGCAAACTTACAATTTCACATGCACATGACACCCAGACCCAGAACCGGAACAACAATTTGTGGGTCACACAAATTGTTATTCCGGATTCGCACCCGCGACACGTTGCACGGCAGCCAGTTGCCCAAGCACCGCACCAACCGCACAGTCAAATATATGATAATTGAATTTTAACGCTTAATTCCTGTTTGTAGAGAAAAATGTTACACAAGTACGAATGAACGGACTAACTTGCGAGGGTACAACGGCCAGGGCTGCGAAAATTCAGACCTGACGGAATGCTGGATGCTGCCTGAGGTATGTGAAGTTGACAACATTGTCGTCTTTTGTTTTCCACGGCATGAGACCCGGTGCAGGCTTTTGGACCAAGGGCCTTTTAACATACTCCATTAGCTTTAAAAGTTTTGTTAGCTTTAAAAGGTGATGTATGCACATTTTTTTGTTTATGTTAGGGGAAAATCGTAGGTAAGAGGAAGTGTCAGACTCGTACCGATTAAAAACCCCCCGTTCCTTCTCCTGCGCTTACGCCGCAACCTCGGCTAAATGTTCCACAGCGTTACCTTTTAAAGCACGAATGGGTGATCATACCGAACCTTTTTACGGTATAAACCGTCACTTTGATACGACATTAGCGCGGATTCCATTAAAAATGTGCGACGAACCACCGAACACCGCGGGCCGTTGTTCAGACAAGGTTCCAAGGTTTCGACCTGGGGCTGGAGAAGGAGCATTGTAGTTTTTTAGTCATTCAGAGTCTGACAGTCAATCTTCCCAACCCATGGCGGGAACCGCCGAACCCACGGTCCAGAATGGACACAATACATGTGACGGTGTAAAAAGGCACATACTAAAATTAAAAGTACCCATTTCGTGAGCTTTAATGGAGTATTTGTGAATTGCAGGTGGAGTACTGGTTTCGCAAGTTAGTAGACGAGTCAGCTGAGCGCAGCATGTTCCCGCGACGGCGCCGACAGTACAAGATGCTGCCCGACGAGGATTTGTGCGTCTATCAATACCCTGTTCGCTTTTACGTTTACCTATTTTGGCTAAAGAGCTATAGTGGAATGAATAGGAGAAGTAGGGCTCTTAACACAGAACTCACCTGCCAACCCCTTAGCGAAGTTACATTGGAGACTATGATCCGGGACAGTCCTAAGGACTTGGCCCTTTACGACATATTAGATTCTTTCTCTACTTATCTTTGAACCGAAGAAAGTAACCTTTGCGAGTCTGTGACTAAGGTGGACTAAATTTTACGAGCAGAGGAATTAATTGGCACCGATCGGCAGCTAGCGAGCGCTGGGGCCCGAGTGGGGCGCGAGCCGCAGGCGAAGAAGCGGCGTTGGCGGCGCGAGTGCTCAGCGTGCGGGCACTGTGGGCCCCCACGCAGGCGCCCCGGGGCCCCGCGCACTCCAGCCACGCGCCCCGCGCCCCCAGCCCCCCTGCCGTGTCGCGGAAGATGCGGGCGAGACGTCGCCAGCCGAGGCGGCTGACGGCCCTCGCGCCACCACCACCGGCGTACTGCCTCGACGTACCTGCACAACTCTTCTGCGACCCTTCGTGCAAAGTAAGCTTATAGTTTATAGCCAATAACAGCTAATGAACCTACGAAAAAATATTAGTCATACCCAGTAAAAGCTGTAAAATGAGCCTAAGATTTTATGATAAGCAGTAAACAGACTTTGCTACTGTTGCCTGCATCATCATTGATTAAGTCATTTCTTAAACACGAATACTTGTTTTTTGTTTAACTAACCGTGTAGTATCAGTTCCAGTTCGACCCGCCGCGGCCTCCGCAGCTGACGGAATGCCAGCGCGCCATGGGGCGGCTGTCAGCGAGCGTGCAGGCCGTGATGCGCGCGTCCGCAGCGCGGTGTCCGCCGTACCGCGGCACCAACGTGAGCCGGTACGCGCCCACCGGCCAGCGACCCGCGCGCTGTCCGGACCGACGCTACGGCGTGTGGTGGCCGCGGGACCATCCCTCCCCGCGCCTCGACCACAGGTTCCACCTCACGCACGTGCAACAAGCACCCGCGCCAACTGGGCCAAAGACATCCGCCCGGACAGAATCAGAAGAAGACAAAAAGGAAGAACTTCCCGATGAAAAGGAAAGCACTAGCAGCACCAACGAACAAGCTGTGGTTCCTGACACCGAACCGCAGAGCTCGCAAGATGATAAGCCAGAGAGTCCAAATACACAAGACAAAATCGTGGCTGATGGTCAGCTTCCGTCCACCAGCGCAGCCGCCATGGACAACGGGTTGAGGAAGAAGCGCCTGTACAGTACGGTGCTCAGCATGAGCGCGCCCGCGCCTATCGGACTCACTCCAGTCGTAAGACTAGCGCAGAAATTGGGGACACCTGGCCTCCTGAAACTGAACCCAAAAATGGTACTCCCTGGATCAAGAGTCCGGCCACCAACAGTCGATCATAAATTCGAGGAATTAGAGAAAGAAGCTTTAGAACAGTACAAAGCGTCAGATGAGAGTATAGACACCAAGTTTCGGGAGTTGGAAAAGCAGGCTGTGGAGCAGTACAGCACCAGCAATAGTAACACAAGTTGCAGCAGCGGGAACTCGGCAGAGAAGCGAGCCTCCAGCTCGCCCTCCGAGACCGATACGAAAAGTAAACAGCCGGCAAAATTTCATAAAGAGAAACCGGTAGACAGCGTCGTTATATACTCCCAGAATTTTCCAGACTTGAATTCCAAGGGGCAGACGTCCAGTGTAATGAATTTAAAAAACTTCCACACCCCCCCGAGGGGGGAAAAAAAGGAACAAACCCATAGACCGAGTAAGAACTTACGGAGTTTAAAAAGCGAGTCCCAGCGCGCAGCCTCCGACACAGACTACGATGCACGGGAGAGCTTGAAGGGCAACCACAAAGGGCCCGTGCGGTGGACGCTGCACGTCATGCCTCCCAAGAAGCGGCACCTCACGCTGTGCGTGTCCGACTTCTCGTCAGACGAGGACATAGATGACGGCAGCGTGTCGATGAAGGACGCCGGGCCCTGCATCAAGAACCACGTGGCGGGCAAGGTGAAGATGTCCGCGCACGGAGGCGGCGACCTGCACCCCATCATGAGGAAAACGTAGCCGGGGAGCCCGCCACGCGACGTGATTTGACAGTTTCCACAACTCCCGCCACTGACAGTTGGCCAGCAGTGGCATTCGTGGCCGGTCACAAACGGAGCGTACCCGTGCTTGTTGTCGAAGCAGTAAATTCATTTCGTGTGTGGCGTACTGATATATTTTTGACTGTTTTATTTGATGCGGCCGTCAACTTTTAGTGGTCGGAGTCAGTTTTTGATATAATTATTACTGTGAATAGTTTTTGTGGGATCCCTCGTAGACGTGTATCGAACTATATGTCGTGACCGGTGGAACCGTGTACCGATAAAGCTGTTTTAGCAATGTGCTTATTTTACTAGTCATAAATGCTTTGTATATATATTTTTGTATTTTTGACTTTATTATTGAATAAGAAAAATAATAATTTCAGTTCATGAAAAAGGTTAACAGTACAAAAATTAAATTCTTTAGGTAATTAACGAAAAAAATAAATTATATATGAATTGTTCTAACTTCGGGGTGTTATTTGATAGCGATTAGAATGAAGTTAACATAAAACACCATAATTGATTGAACAAGGTGAATTTAAATCAGTAAGTCAGACACTCTCGCGCTTCCCAGGTCGGGAGGAGTCATTTGATGATTTTACCCTCCCTAAAAATTTAAACTTCTTAAGTGTCAAATGTGTTGGGTTACCATTGTGAAAAAAGAAAAATGAAAGACACTTGTAAAATATTCAACAAATATTATATTAACTTTGGAATATAAAATAGAATGCATTAAGTCTTAATTGTACAAGCTCTGATATTACCATATCATCATAGTCCCAGCACCAACACATCAACACATTGTGTTTCACATCAACTATCGAGGAATTTCTCAAGGTCACTGTTGTCATCGTCTAATTGTATTTGTTCTAAAGTTATTTTTGGTGTCGAGGGCTGACCTGGAATTAAAAGAAAAATGCTTATTGCATGTCAACTCAAAATGTTTTTTTTTTTATTAATACGTTGCGGTGGTAAGCTACCTACGATGGAGCACGCCTACTCATAAGCAACCTATTCACTCGGGCCTTGAAGACACCCAGGCCAAAAGTATTTCAACTTCATAGAAACGGCCGAAACGCGAACTATACCTACGCGCCCGATGTCGGGACGCGCTCGGGACGCAGACAGACACGGCTGTACCGCAGTGACGAACGGACGGTGTGTTGTCTTTTATTTAGAAATCAGCTCGAGTACATTATTTAATATGACGAATAGGAAATATTGTGCTGTTATTATGTTTGGTTGCATGAATTCGTCAATAACGCATCCAGACATAAGTTTTTTTTAAATTACCTGGAAACTCTGAAAGGTAAGACTATAAAATAATTTTACTTACTAGTAGCCTAGGTAGGTACATAATGTGTGTCTTTATGGATCATTATTTCCAGTTATCTCACGAAAACAGATGTTTGAATTTATAAATAATATGAATAAAGTTATTGAGACGAGTGAAATAGGTAGTTATAGGCGGTTCTGGTTCTGAATGAATCTCATGATTCATTATATATACGTTAGGTACCTACCTACTTACGCTTGTGTTAAAACGGTTCATGTATGTTTTGTTAGTTTGTATAATTCAAAGTAGAGAGTGTGGTATTTTATTATTAATAATATTTGTTTATTATCTGCGTTTATGAATAATACTAGAAAATATTTAATAACAACAATAAAACAGCTAGACTCATGTAATATTTTGATGTTTGAGGGTTGTGATTTTAGAACATTCGTAGTCAGCTGTTCAGTTCGGCATTAGTGGCCAATGAAATTTTGTTTGTTTATTTTTAAAGCACTTAATTTGTTTATATAAAAAAAAGGATATTTACAATCACAAAACTAAATGGAAACAGAAAGTAGACAAAGGTAATTAAAATACTGGAGACGAGCAGCCCTAACGCAAGTTTACGTACCGCGCGGCTGTAGGTATTTATTTCTTTCAAGCGGCCGAGTTACAATACTGTATGATATTTATACTGTGCCCAGGCTATACCCCTCGGGGATCACTCATGTTGGATTCCTATTAGATTTTGGTGGTAATTCCAAATTTAAACTTTAACTTGCCTTTCAAACATCTTTATGCTAATTTACCGCTGTTGTAACCTCGAGAATAATAGGAAACAATATTTAATTTTGTTTTCAGAACAAAATCTGTACTTGTTAGTAGAAAAAAGTAGAGTATGACAGTTTGATAAATCCCTCTCATAAAAATTGAGATGGCTACTGGCTGGCTAGTGTTGGAGTTGTTCTTCAGCATAAATAAGCTGGCTCGAACATGAAGCCTGATACCACAACCTCACAGATGGCATTGGCATAAAACATTGTGGTTTGCTGTAAAAGTGAGGTTTCTGGAGGTATTTCCTTCACACCATTCCCTAATTCCTACATCAATTACATTCTATTAAAAGCTAACTATGCACTCCGTTGATGTTTGTGGGTGAGTGATAGGTGGTGCTGATTTATTTTTTTGTGTTTGCTTACAATTTGAAGATCAAGGATCTAACTCTTCAGGTTTGTCATGCAATCCCACATAAAAAGGACAAGTAGGTGATTGAAAAAGGCTATATGTCTCTCCAGCTCCAAATATTTTATAAAAGATCATGATATAATGGGTAAAAAAAACAAAATAATATAAACTTACTGATAGCAATGGTCCCGCTAGCTAAGTACTTGGCAACATCTTGTTGGAACGCATTGGAGCTCTGTTCTCTTCTGGCCTGCAGCTCTGCTAGTTGCTGTTTTTCCCTCTCTGTGTTCCTCTGACTGTTCTCCCTTGCCAGCTTATTACGGACTTCCTCTAATGCCGCTGAAATTTGTAAGTACGATTGTTAGGTGATTTACAGATGAAACGAGGATATTGTATTTAAAGTTCTCATTAATTAATTAATTGGGGTTTAATAAGTCAACACTGGCTTTTGTGAGCCTATTGTTCAACTATTGTGTCTTGATCGATTGAAAGATAAATATTATAGTGTTAATTTGAAGACACTTTCAGTGTAGAAGAGAATATAACTATGATGAACAAGCTTCATCTGGTATGTTTCAGTAGGTTTCTGTTACAATTCCATTCTCAATTCAATTTTTTTTATTTTTGTCATTTATTTATTTATTTTTACACCAACTTACATTTACGGCTTACACCACACATATAAGTTATAGGCATATATAGGTTATATATATATATATATATAAAAAAAGTACAAACTATACAGAAAACTTACAAACATGACATTGACAAAATTATATAAAGTTCACGTTACACAAAAGAAAAGAAAGAGCAATACTTGATTAATTGTAATTCTTTATTAGCATTCCTGATGTTAACAGGTAGGTGCTACATTTAAGGGTTTAGTGTTAAAATGACCCCAGTAGGGAACAGTGCCCTGATCAAAAGTAGTCTTGTGCTATTACACACTCCTTACTTTCCTTTGCCAAGTGGATTTTATGTAAAAGAATAACATACACTCCAATATCCATAATTAATAACTTAAGTATTTAGGTTAATTTTGGATTCTATAAAACACCTGCTTCAGTTCACATGTGAATAAAACTATGAAATTTCAAACAAATAGGTAACTAAAATGACATTGATGCATCTGTGTAAATATACTGTTACATACTTAACAAGATTCTTATCAGAAATTCATAGTTATGATAATGTAGGTCATGAGACATACTCTGATAAAAATAAGGATTTAGACAATGTTGCAAACCTGACAGTAAAATAGTGAAACTAAATTATAGTATCTACATACCCATTTTCTTCTCTTTGTACATGGTCAGATGATAGTGGTGGTCTAGTTTCCAGTTTTCCATCTTACTCCTCTCAACAATATCTTCGAATTCCACTAATTCATCCTCCACAGACTTTAGCAATCCCTGCACATTCTTTAGACTGTCCATACACTCCGCTACAGAAGCAGTCAGGGTAGGAATTAAAGACAAATTCTGCGCCAATTCATTCGCACTTTGTAAACGTTTCTTCGCCTCTTCGTGTAATTCTAGTATTAATTTATCTACATCATCAGCTGCTTTAGCGTTTGTGTCCGCGTTCTCATGTATTTTAGCCCATTCTTCCTGATATTTCTCCAACAACGCACCGCCAGCTCCGTAATTGACTTTACTTTCGTGTGCTACTTTTTGCTTGTCTTTGAAAATATTTGTAACTTTCTGAACTTCCTGTAGCGTTTGCCGTATATTGTTGTTGGATGTTAAACCATCTTGGACGACAGAGATAAAGTCTTTGAGATTACCTAGCATTATTTAAAAGTTAAAATATAAATATTATTGAGAAAAGAATATCAACATTTTTTTTTTTTTTTTTTTTTTGTTGTTGTTGGCAACTGAGTCTCCAATATAATGTTGTCGACTATACTGCCAGTGTCGAGTGGTGACGGCAGAGTACTGTACCGTCGACTTTTAACTTTGTGGTAGTATTTACTTGTTAGTAGCTGAAAAGGACAAAACATTTGGGTTAGTAAACATATATCATCTATAAACCTACAGTTACTATACTTACCTTACGCTTAATAGATAATTAGAGATATATATATATATATAATAATTATAACACATACAATATTTACATTATTACACACCGCTACATTTTAATATTATTTTCATTCATAAATTTGGACAGACACTTAATTAATTTGGGGGAAAAATTAGTTAGAAGGGAGTGGAAGTTGATTGGGAGTGGGATTTGGATTTTGGGAAGCTTTCCATATAGGTCAAAGGACTGGGAATTAAGAGGGCATGAAAAAAATATATGGTCTAGGGTACCCTCATCAAGACCGCATTCGCACAGCGAGCTGTCACGTACGCGTATCTTGGCGAGGAATACCGGGCTAGTACAGTGGCCGAGTCTGAGTCTGCACAAAGACGAAACAGTGTGTTTGGGGAGTTTCTTGTGCTTGGAGAACCAAGGTTTCCGCTGGATATCGGTCTGGATACTAGCATAGTAAGCTCCTTTCCGCTTAGAGG